CTCAAATCAAAGGCACAGAGCCCATTTTTATCCCCTCAAAAGTAGATTGCAATCAGTGCAGTATTAAGTGCTGTCTTCTTTTGAAGTTGCAACAAAGGCAGATAAGTAGACAGCCTATGACATTTGATACGAGGAAACATGGAGATAAAAATGTAAGACGATATAGATTTGGGTTATTACGATAGCCTTGATTCCAGGTTCATGGACCAAAAGACTAAAGAAGAAATACCATTAGACACTGTAATGAAGCCCAAGCAGCATGTAAAAGAGAAGCATGGATCATAACAACAAACCACTAGATGTGTTTGCATAGTGGATCAAAGAGGATGTCAAGTAAATAGAACTTTTCTATTTGCAAACTCAAAAACAACCTTTTTATGCTTCACTTTTGCTTTTCTGTGCGAGGCTGTTACTACAACATGGGCTCATTTGGTCACACTTAAAAGCAGGATAATGGATGGGCAAATTAGATTCACTTTCAGCTTAATAATTTTCGTGCACTTGCTTTAAAAATTCTAATTGTTTCTGCCATTAATCATTTGGCAAATTCTTGGTTTCTCTTTATTCCTTTTTTTAAAACTAAAAATCCACTGGCAAGATATTTCAGATAATTCTCCTGCTCATGCTTTCAGAAAGTATGAATCATATGAATGCCCTTGAGTTAGGTTAGCATGTAGAAATCTCCCTTTATAAAATCCAAAAATCATGTGATTTCTATCCCATTAATCCCATTTAATCAGAGGTTTGTGTGTCACAGATACAGAGAGCATGAACATGGATGTCATCACCCTTTGGTTTTGAACTGTATTTAGAAGTCGGGCTACCCGTCCTGATGCAACCCTAATAGGATTTATTTCTCCTCCCAAAACTGAACCGGAGATCTTTCCTTGTTTGAAATTTATTTAAAAAGAAATTCCAAAAGGCTCCAACTGCACACGCACAGCACAGGCTTAGCAGACTCAGATTTGCTCCATCCATCTGATTACATGGCCACAGACCTAACTAAATCATCCAGGTAGATGAGTTATTAAGTCATTTTTTGTGATGAGAGGGTAAACTTTCCATAGAGAACAAATGTGCTTTAAATGTGCTTTAAACCTGCACATTTTAACATAGGAGTCAATGAGGCTTGACTCCCTTTTAGAGTCTGCTTTAAGTGGCCACTTGAGGAACTGCAAGTTAAAATGTATTGTCCTCCAATGTCCTCATAAACTGTAATATAATTTTACATGCAAATATGGTAAACTGACTTGACTTGACTTGACAAAACTGCAATGTGAACCAATGTCTTCTATACTGATATCAGTGTGTTGAACTAACAATGCTTTTGCCTGCTTCACAACCTCAATTTCATCACATTTTTACAATTTCAAGTGTAATATTCAATTTGTAATAATCACTCAGTTATGTCAGCAAACAGCTGTCTGTGTCTATTTCAACATCTAACTGAGTTTCAGCATTCGTGTCCTTTGAAGGCATCTGAAATGAGTAAAGACTGAGCACATTTTTGGATTTCCTTAAATCTTTACAAACTATATAAATAAAGATGGATTTGCTTTGAAGTCAGCCAAGCAAAATGTTTCATAGGAGAGATTTGATGCTTTATGGGCTGTAAAACCATGATACTGTGTCCCAGTAAGATTTGGATGAGGAGATACCAGTCCAAATTAAAACAACACAAATGAAATCAAATTTAAACTGTGGCTGCGAACGCTATCAGCTCGTCCAAATGGACTCTCTCTGTTGGACCTCACTCCTCCTCGCAGTCCACCCCCACCTCCGCGTTTACTGCTTCGTCCAGCTGGCTGGTTTCGGCTGAGTCCACTTCCTTTTGACTCACATCACCGTCTTGGTAACGGCGGACAGTTGGTGGGCAGAAAGACGTCTCCAACGATGCTGGAGGTCCGCAGACCCAACTGGCGTGTGTGTGAGAGAGATTATTCTTGTAGGGAAACTAGCCCTGAAACAACCTGGATCCCGTGGATGATTAGACTCAGACAAGCTGGCAGGGACACTGTGGAGCAGAGGGTCTCCTGTTGGTTTGGCTGAGTGAAAGGCTTGGCCTGGCTGGTCCAGGCATGGATGCTACGCTTTGGCTTGCTCAACAGAGAAGAAGTGAAAGAGTGGAGAGAGTGAATGAGGAGAAGGCATGCAGCCCGAGGAAGTGTGCTGAAGACAAAGGCAGGCTGTCTTGTAACTACTCTGTAACTACTTTTATTAAACTACACTTTGTAGCCCCAGTCTTCTCTGCATGCCGACTTCATTCTTCATTACTTCACTCTCTCCCAGTAAATGACACAGATTTGGACTACATCAGTTTGCACAAGTTAAGCTGTAGGCTAATTAGTTTAACATTTAAACTAGTTTGTGTTGCATTTACATGTCTTGTTTGATTTTTCAACATATAATGGTACTTTAACTCTGATTTGACATATCACAACAATATTTTCATTTAAATTGTTATATAACAACACAGTGTCACAGTCCAAATTGCACACCTCCTCTTTTTTCAGTTTTCCAGTGTAGTCAGGCTTGCAGATGTATTTTAATTTCCACCCATTTTCATCCACTCATCCAATTCAGGGTCATGGTGGGCTGGCGCATATTCCAGCTGTCGTGGGTACACCCTGGAGAGCTTGTCAGTCTGTCGCAGGCAGATAACCATTCACACTAACTAACACCTTCGGCTAATTCAGAATCACCAATAAGTCTAACAAGCACTCTTTGCACTATGGAAGGAAGCCAGAGTACCCACACAGGTCCACACAGAAAAGTCCCAGTGTGGATCTGAACCCAGAACCTTTTTTCCACCACACTGCAGATTTCTACCAAAATAAAAGTCTGGTAATCCACAGGAGATGTTCTGTGCAGTCTGCATGTTCTCCCCATGTCTCTGAGAGCAAAAGGGAACAGGGGACCCTAACTCTTGGCTGCTACTCAAATCTTGTGGTTTAATGTGTTTAAATGAGGCAAAATCTGTTAATCTGTTTAGGGGCATCAGGGTCTGGTCCTGCAGGTCTTGAGTTTGAATCCACTGTCTGGCCAGCACCTTGTCATGCATGTTAAGTTAATTAGTGATTCTCAATTAGCTCTACATGCAAATGTGAGCACGAATGAGTCCTTTGGTGGACTGGCAACGTGTCCTGGGTGTATCCGACTCTCACTCCATGACAGCTGGGGTATGCCACACACCTCTCATCCTGTAACCCTAAACAGAATAAGAAGTAAAGAAAATAGAGGGATGGCCTGGTTTACACATATAGTAAGAAGTTAAATTGGTAATATCCAGCACCTGGAATGTGTCCAACTCAATTACACACAGTGTAGAAAAAGCCAAGTTTGTCTGCTTGCTGTGTTTGTTTGAAATTCCACTGATCACTAAACACGTGGTCAGATTTTGAGGCTTTTGGGAAAATATTTAGATCAAAATTGTAAAAACTGCGAGCTTCATAAAGACGTGAAAGTAAAATAAAATAAATTATTGGAAATGGAAAGCTAAAAGGATGAGCTTTATGATGCACTGCAGCAATATGGATAAAAATCTGTGTCAGTAAAGACCGATTTCTGGTCTGAGCTATAACTGACAAATTACAGACCACGAATCGGAAATCTGATTGGACTAATTCAACTAAAGAAAATGGTTTGAATATCTCAAGATGGATCTAAGCTGCATCAGCTCAGAAATATCATGAGACTACTTGAAACGAATGCACTAAACTTAATTGTTTTCAATCATTTTAAACATTTTGATTAGCCAGTGTGACTTTCTTTCAGGATTTGGGAGCGAACATTTGAAAAGAGAAAATGTGTAGCTGTATAAAACTACAGATCATCTTGGTGTGTGCGATCACACAAGCCACAGTATTCCTTGGCAACACTCCAACTCAAGAGTATTCAGTAATCATTAATACCTCATTACATGTTAACATGAGTACTCAATACTTAGTGCAGCATTCAGTGTACGTTTTGTGAAGGTAGCTTGCAGTGTTGCAATATTATTTTACATCGTGAGCCACTTACGACCCACTTTGATCTTAAGTGGGCTGGACCAGTGAACCTCACCTGTTTGTCAGCGTAAAGAAATTTAACTACACATTTAATCCTATATTTAATTAAAGAAAAAGAAGTGCAGTTTTTCTACATGATACAGAAATGCTTCAGCAGTAAATGAAAGACATCTGTCAGCACGACTCTTCAGCTTAAATTCTGAAAAACAAACATGTAAAAAGACAGAGAGGGTTCTGGTATCCGATTGCCCAGACTGTCTGGCAGTGAAAAAACATTAACTTTCTGTCATTTAACTCTTTACTTGTTACTTATTTACTTCAGTGTCGTATGAATTTCCACTGCTGAGGACTTCAGGAGAAAAGCTGCAAAAATGATGAAAACACAGATAAATGTCCAATATTTATGCTCAAATTTGCCAAAGTCCCCCAGCAGGCCAGATTGGAGCCTTTGGTGGGCTGATTCTGGCCCCCATGCCTTATGTTTGACACCCCTGATCTAGTACTCAAACTGCCTCTGTCTCATATTTTTTGCTAAACTAATGCCTGCAGACCCACGCTCACAAACATCATCAGCTATGCCACAAAGGTAAATTGGACTTTTGTACCTCCTGCTTCATACACACTTAAAAATTAAACAGGGTGTGCAACAGGGGTATAAAGTGCCGAGCCAATAGCCCCTTGGGTGCCCCACTTTACTCAGTGCTAATGGGCCACAGGTATCTTTGACCTTGGCCTGTAAACCTTTGTGACCACATGTAAAGTCTGTGTGACGCTGACATTAAACCATCCACAAACAGAGCTGTAAAAGTGCTCAAACCGAGCAGGACCACATTTCCCAGTGATGACGCACACACACACACACACACACACACACACACACACACGAACAGCAGGAGAAAACATCACCAGCAGCGCTAAATGTTTCTGTTTTCCTTCTATATGTATTTCCTTCCGTCTGCTAGCGCCCCCTGTCGGGAATTATCAGTAACCCTCAGCAGTCTGGCCGTCCCAGCGCCGCCCGCAGGAGCTTCCAAGTTCACAAACCGCTGGCTGTGTTTGGATAGTTTGGATAGCTGTCCCACGGAGTCAGATACCACAGCCTCAGCGTTGTTACAGTTGTTGTGCTTTGGATGAACACACGGACTCCAGGTCAACTTTCTGTTTTTGTTTTCGGGCCTCTAACATTTGAGCGTTTAAACTTTCTTTTGTTGCTTTCTGTCTTTGTTTCTGTGTCCAGAGTGATTTCTGTGGATGGCGAGGTCCATCTAACCAAGATGGACACGGGCTGTCTGCCGGTTGAAGACTAGATAACGGCTTCTCAAACTAAATGTAGACTTTATTTTTTTACGCGTGTTTATCGTGTTTATCCGTGAACTTTGTAGTCGCCCCATTTCCATCCCGGGGGTGGGGGATCAAAATCCTATAATGAACATTTTCCCACTGGAGTTTCGGTAAACTTTTCCCACGACTCGCCATGTCGGGAGTGGTCCGCACCCTGAGCCGCTGTCTGCTCCCGGCCGAGGCCAGCCGGGACCCCGTCGGCAGCAAGGAGAGGAGCCGGGAGAGAGACGCGGCGCAAGAGCGGGAGGCGAGGCGCAGGAGTCGGGAGATAGACGCGATGATCGCCCGGGAGAGGAGAGCCATTCGGCGGCTGGTGAAGATCCTCCTGCTCGGGGCCGGGGAGAGCGGAAAGTCCACATTCCTCAAACAGATGCGCATCATTAACGGGCAGGAGTTTGATCAGAAGGCACTTCTGGATTTCCGGGACACAATCTATGAGAATATACTGAAGGTAAAGACGTGGCTCGAGGGGGCCTTCATCCTCCACATATCTAATGTTTGCCGTGTTTGTTAAACATCCAAATCGTGTTTTATATCTGAGAAGGACAACAGTGAGGGGGCATTTTGAAAGTTTTCACAAGTAATTGACACTTTAGGTCACTGTGGCTCTAACTATTCAGATTTTTGAATTAGTTGCTTATGTCTTAGCTTTTATAATAAATCTGATTGATTTTTATTTTTTAAGACAGCCAAAACCTTTTCTGAGGAAAATCAAGATGATGGGAACAATTTATATCTGCAGGCCTGGGCCATTAGCGACTAAGGTTCACACACTTATTTAAACACACACAGAGGTCTGTTGACATAGTGCATATTTTTATCCTGAAGTGAGTCTATGTGTGTGTGTGCGTCCTGTCCCTTTGTTTGCTGTCATGGCTGGGCCTCCTTCACCAGCTAACAATACCAGACTATTCCTGGGGGATGAGCACATCCGTCCTGAGTGCCACACAGCCCAGACGAGGATGATAAGAGCCTGCACTTCTGCACAGACAAGACAGTATTCAGTACCCTCCCCCAAACACAAGTATACAGTGACCGTCCTGTCTCGGGCCAGATCAAGAACACAATCTTCCCACACACCACATACTTTACCAGCAGCCAAACTCCGGAAAACACACACAATGCGCGATGTGTAGGAGCTGATAGGCCAGGCCAAAACTACCAGCTATTACCCCGCTTAAAACATCTGTAAGTCCCTCACCAGCGCTGCAGTCATTCGTCATGTAAAGTATATAAAGAGCGAATGTTAGTATTAGGGTTGTAAGTGGAAGTTATTTTCATTAATGATTAATCGTTTCTGTTTTATCCCTCTGTTCAGTGTCTGCTCTTTTCCCCGTCTTTTTGGATGCGGCTTTTTCTTTGCAAATCTGCACAGAAGGCCACGATCCTGGAGTGACCTCACCACTGCAAGAAAAAAAAAGCTTCTGGTTGAGAAGTGATGCACTCTTGCTCAGTTGCAGATTCAGTGCTGTTTGCTGAAGAGAGTAGCACACGTGGTTGTAAAATCTGGAGTTTATTGGAGGTTCATGGAGGCAAATTGGGTGATGCTCCGCATACTCGACGTTTATGGCTTCTTTAATCAGCACAAGCTGTGCTAACATAATTGGAAAAAGGTTTTCCCGATGATCAATCAGCCCTGTAACGTGATAAACGTTCACTGGGCGACACAATGTGCCGCTGAAGGACTGATGGCTGCTGGAAACAGGCCTTTGAGCATCTATGTAGATGATACAACAGCAATAATAACGAATTTATCATCAGTGGTTGAATTAATGAGCGTTAAAATCATATCTGGATAATTTGGTGTTGGAAAACGAGGACATTTTGAAGCAATCCCAGCTTAACCGAACTTAAAAAAAGTTCATCCTACATGATGTGCCTTCTTTGAGTTTGGACGCCGCTGTTTGGATTTCCCACATCACAAAGGAATAACAGCCAATCGTGTGCTAGATGCGGTTGTTGGTGGAAGATCAGTGTCACCTACCAGGTGTAGTGGGGAACCCCCTGTCTTATGGGAATCTATTGATGAAGAGTGAGAGAGCAAAGTGGGAAAGGAAGGAAAGAAGGGCGGATAAAGCTGAAAGAGAATGCACAGGTGTGCTGCACAATTAGGCCTGCAGAAATAAACAGCGGAGAGGTGGAGTTCAGATGCGGTCTGAGTGATTATCTTGTCAAGCGGTGGATAAATCTGTGGTTTAACCATTGTCAGAGGTGAACCAAACAAACAAAAAACCCCTCTGATCTAAGTTAGCCTTAACTAGCAAGTAAATGATCACTGAGTCATTTTGGACTTTTGAGGTGCATTTCTTTATCACAATAGAAGATAAATACCAGCAATAAAAAAGAGCTAATTTTTCTAAACTGAGCATGTGATGGCTGCTAGCTTCTCTTATCTCTGGTAGCTTTTATCTCTCATTGCCTTTCTTGAATTTCTTTGAAGTATTCGCCTGCTTTTTTTCTCTCTCTTTTTTTCCTCTTTTTTGGCTCGTTTGGTTCACAGCAGATATTTTGGCACCGGCTGCCCGCTCATGTGTTGTGTTTTGTGGCTGGTGTTGATGTCACTTGCAGTCCCATCGTTCACTGGGGCTCTGTGGGCTCAGAAGGCAGGCGTCGCTTTAGAGGAGGAGGAGGTCAGTGCAGTTCGCGGGGTGGACTGCATTAACGCAGGAAAGAGAGCCGCTTTTCAATACAACATTTATAAATGAAACTGAACCCTGCCAGCTCCAGCCATCTGCCAGAGGCAACTGCTACTAACGCTGCTGACCACGCCATGACTGTGAGAAGCCCATCAGCTCAGACATCAGATTTTAATGTTTTTTCGCCCCGTGTGGTCAGATACTGAGGGCCAGTAACACATAAAATGAGCTTTTCAATCAAAGTCTGTTACTCATTTAAATTTGTGCGTCCTGTGGCGTTGCCCTCTACGGCTGGGGAGGAGGTGAAGTTTGGTTGGAGTTAACAGGAAGCAGAAGATTCAAATACTAAATCCCCATATATCCTATGTAAAAAAATCTTCTGAGCTGTTTTTTTCCTTTTCTTGTCTTATTGGTATTTCCTCCGTCTACTCTATGTAGCTGTTTTTACATGTGGATGTCAGGCGAATGAAGTAAGGATATTGTACACTCGGAGTCTGCTTCACATTCAGTCTGACTATCTGTTTGCTTCAGGCTGCCTGAGCAGCGCGTGCAGGGCCCGCAGCAAAGTACGACCACTCCTTCGCTGTGAATTCGCTAGACTGCTTCCTGCATAAATTTAACCTGGGAATTATTTAACTGATCGCCCAGACTTTGTGCTGCCGAGCTGGGAGGATTTTACATTTTCACCTCTTTAAGGTATAGCCTGGAAAAGTTCAGGGGTGCCAGTGCATGTGTGGAAGCATCCTATGTCAGTCACATAAGGAAGTTGTCCGGTCAAAAACTGGGTCATAGTTGTGGGAAGTATGCAACCTGCACTTCCTGGGAAGTAAAGTGAATGTTGTTTATGGCCTTTGTGCATGCATATGTTCAAATGTTTATAACCAGATAATCAGTGATAAACTAGAATTACTCTGAATCAGTTTACAACAAGAGTTACAACATCCATGCAACACCTGTCCATCCATCCACCTTTCCTTCCACTTATCCAGTTTCTGGTCAGTGGGGGGAAGGTAGTGGTTGGAACCATTCACACTCGTAATTACACCTACGGCCAATTTAGAATTGCAAATTAACCTAACCCAGGGAGAACCAACACAAGCACAGGGAGATAACTCCACAGAGGTCCCAGCTGGTGGATTTGAACCTGGGGCCTCCTCGCTGTGAGGCAGCAGTGCCAGCCATCTGTCTGTCATTTCTGTGTAATTACCAACATGTTCAGACTCATAACAGTAAGCAAACCTGACTTCCAGTGTTTAGCCCTAGCTTTGTTCCCCTTTTTCTAGCTGAGATTCACAGTAACCCATGAGCGGCAGACCAGAAATGCACACAAGCTGACGTCATCTGAACGTCCGGATAACGCACAAGCTAGTTCTCGTTAGAGAATGTGTGCAGTCCTCTGGTACTGACCTCTTAGATCGGGCAAAGCAAAGGCAACGTCAGTCATCTGAATTCTTCGGAGGCTTTGAAACTGAGCCGCACATAACTGACTTGTTACAGGCAGACAGTGACAGGCTGATCGGCATGGAAGCAGACAGTGGAGTAAACATGCGGGCACTCAGGAAGAGACGCAGACAGGAATATGGAGGATTATGATACAAACGAGGCAGATTAGTAAATTGATAAGGCTCGTGTCATGAGTCGATGTGACTCACTCAAAGCTCACACGGTCATTCTGCTTTGGGAAGTTCGCTGCGCCCACGCTGGTAGTGGGTCTGCATGTTCGTCACATTAATGCAGCATGTGTGTTTGTGTGTGTCTTTGTTTTAAGCACCACTGTGGGATTTCCTCACTTGTTTAGGTTCACATCCATCTCACTCATTCCTAAAAACAAAAACAGCATTTCTGAACAAAAAGTCTGAACAGGCTCAGACTTGAAATCACTCCACAACACTGAGTCACAGAGGGCAGCCAAGTCAGACTGCACACACACGCGCACATGAAATAGACATACATTGTAGATACATTAGTCAAACCTTCTTTTCACTCTTTGCATTTGCCTTTTTTTTTTGTTATAGCCATGTTCAAAAGCGTGGGTGGTGGGGGCTCTCTCTCTTTGACTTCCTGGTTTTCACATGTTATTTGTAAAGACGACGCTGAGGAGATGTTGATGTTGTGGGTGTGTAAAAGCCTCTTCAGTGTGAGATTAAGCAATACAAATAAATTTGACTATTGCAAAAGATTCAGATGGGTCATGAGTCATTGACAGACACACACAGAGCACACGTACTTTGACCCCTGAGACACTCTTAAATTATTCACAGCAGAGTCATTGTAACGATCCATAGAACAGATGAGCAACAACTCTTTAATAATTCAGCCGCTCTGGACTTGGAGATGCTGTGAAATACGCCTCACATTTGCAGTGAGTTAGTAAGAGCCGGTGAGGGTGTAATGGATCGGCGCGAGCTCACCGATTCAAAAATCAAAGGTTTTTATAGCTAACTTACATTTTTGGTGATGCTCGCAGTTATTCACAAGAATTGGCTGGAGAGAGAGAGAGAGAGAAAAAAGAAGTATATATTTATAGTTGCTGTGTGAAGCGGGCGTAAATGCTGCATCATCACTTCCAGAAAGTTACAGCCCACCTCAATCTGACATCTGGAGTAGCTGTTCAAGAGAATAGATGGAGGAAATAGAAAAAAGTAGAACTGAAGGAGGAAAATTCAGTCTCAGGAAGAGACCTCCCACACAGATCCCACATGGTTCTCCTCAAAAAACCACCAGCAGCCACACATGCATGCGTTCAGAGTGTGACTTAAATGCATGAGTTTCAGCGTTAAAGTTACTCCGTGTTTACGAGGAATGCTAGACTCATTTTTTTCCTCCCATCTGTGTGGTAAGAAAAATATCTGCGACATTAAGACAGGCGGCTGCTCTTCTTGTGTGTGTCTGCAGGGCATGCGTGTGCTGGTGGATGCCCGCGACAAGCTGGGTATCAGCTGGCAGAGCTGTGAAAATGAGAAGCAGGGCATGCTGGTGATGTCGTGGGAGGGCCGCGTAGGCGCTTCGGGGGTCGAGCCCAGTGAGTTCCAGCTGTACGTGATGGCGCTGAGCGCGCTCTGGGCGGACGCCGGCATACAGGAGGCCTACACGAGACGCTCCGAGTTCCAGCTGGTGAGTAGACATTATTCTCAGTCCTTTTAATATCCTCCCACGCCCCTACGAACTTTCATCACTAACCACCTGAGACATCCAAAAGTGGTAATTTTAACTGGATGATGTTTAACCCTTGTAATTATATGAAAGTGATTATTGCTATAGAAACTCTGCAAGATGCAGTAAAGTCAGTCTGTGCTTTTCATGGCAACAAGCTGCAGTACTCTGAGGTGGTGAGAGGGTGCAAAGCAAGAAGGGAGGGCAAGGTGCTCGTGTGCCAGTGCTGCAGAAAATGAGCACTTAAATCAAAGCGTTGTTTCGAATATTCAGCTTTATTATCATCTGAGCAATTTAGTATGACTTTTCTGCTCGAGTGCTTTTTCATGTGCTTTCAGTTGCAACATATGATGCCAGGGCATGCACCGATGTAGCTGCTATTGTGTTTGTTATAGTTAAACCAAAGCAAATCACCAGCGAAACAAACTGTTATCCTACTTGTACTCTTTTCCCCTGCTTTACACACATATGTGGATGTTTTTTAGATTAGCTGAACCATTGCAAAATATTTCCCTGATCCTTTTTGCTGCTGCAGAAATCTCCCGTGTGGTGCAGATACCCCTCTTTGGGATTTTGTAGACTTAAAGAAAAACAATGTATATAGACGCGAACTCTTTGTAACCGTTTAAAAGGGCATTTCACTCAAAAAGTGTTTGTTGTCTTTTGTAAACCCAGTCAATAGAAAAAGAAGAGCAAAGGCTCAAAATGTTTTAACCTACTCGTTCAGCAGTCTAAGGCAGAAGCTTCCAACCTTTACACATATCAGAGGCCTATGAGTGTGCACTGAAGATGCTCGTGTTTCTGTCAGTGATAGTTACAGTGCTGTAAAAAGTATTTGTCCCCTTCCAGATTCGTTAATTGTTGTCACACTTATATGTTTCAGATCATCAAGCAAATTTTAATATTAGACAAAGATGACCCGAGCAAATACAAAATGCAGGCGGGCAGCGTCGGCACCTAAGTTAGGAGCGATAACTCTTCAACAAGGCGACGTAGGAGCTTCAAATTGATGTTATAGGTGCATCTACTAAAAATCTTTTCTTCTGACCTCAAGGTTAGAGTAAGATTTCTGAAAATCTTGTGCGTGTGATAGCTTGAAAACAAGACATTGATACCATAGGTGTGTCTACTGTATAAGGGGTAGTGTAAGGAAGAGGACTCCTTACTACATTTATTTATATTATATTATCTGTATAGCACTTTAGAGCACACCTTCAACTTTATTAAAATCACCTTATCAAGCCCTTTTTTTAGCATTGCACTTTAAGCATGGATTTGCACAGTAAAACATTTGCACACAATAAGTTTAATTATTTATTGACTATTTATTGGGAATTTTAAAATCAGTTGGTAGCCTTGTTTCAGATCCAGCACTGCTGCTCCTCATCAAGGAATGTGGTGGTTGTCTGTCAGGAGAGAAGAATGGTGATTGAGATTGAGATTAAGGTTTACCAGTAAGGAAAACTAATGCAAATGTGTGTGTGTGTGAAATCTAGGAATAAAAGTGGTGCAAAAAAGTGTCTGTAAGATATGATTACTCACCTTTCCGGGAAAGACCATTGGTAAAGAGAGTGTGGTGAATCTTTTCGTGCTTGGGTTTTTTGGGTTTTTTTTAGAATATTGGGTTTGGTGTAAAATTAAAGTGTGAAATATTTATTAATATGAAAACGTGATATGTATTTATTTATTCTAATTGATATATTGTATACTGTGGTGGAAGGTTGGGATTTAAGAATTTACCTGAGAGTGGAAGAATGGTTTAGTCTGTGACAGCTGAACATATTTAAGGCTGCCGGTTGTCATTAGAGGGTTGATTGTGCTGTGAAGAAGCTCGATGAGTGAATTGTTGTAAGGAGAGCTGTATAGCAAATAAGTACTTTTTGTTCCACTACACTTGCCTTGGTCCACCTCACTGTGTTTCCAGCCGCTAAGGGCTGTCCTGTTACAGGTAGCACTGGCGGGATTTTTAAATGATGATTTCATATTATGAAAGGAAAGTAGCGACCCAAACCTGCTTGGCCCTGTGTGAAAAACAGTTTTTGAAAGTTGAGTTTCATTATTGACATCCAGGTCTGATAACTGCCAGACCCGTTGAATTTTTAAAAATCACTTAAATAGAATCCGCCGGACAAAGTGAAGTAAAGTCACTGACATCTGTCCATCACAAAGTCTGAGGCTTTGGGACTCCAGTGACTACAGCGAGAAAATTTGGAGCAGTGGTGAACCTTCCCAGGAGTCACTAGCCTACTGAAGTGAGAGTGCATAGATGACTCATCCATCAGGTCACACAAGAGCCAATAACGATGTCTAAAGAACTGCGTGCTTCATATGAGTCAGTTAAGGTCAGAGTTCACGATTCTATTGGGAAAAAAAGCTGAACCTTTTGTGTCCTGTTACATGTGCTGTAAAACTAACACAGCAGGTCATAAAAACATCATCATAGCTACAGTCAAACATGGTGGTGGTAGTGTGACGGTCTGGGGCTGCTTTGCTGCTTCAGGACGACTTGCTGTAAGTGATGGAAACACGAATTCTGCTTTTTACCAGAAAATCCCGAAGAAGAATATCCGAAAATCAGTTCAAGAGACCTTGGGTTATGCAGCAGGACAATGATCTAAAACCTCTCCAGCAAGTCCACCTCTGAATGGCTCAGAAAAAACAACATGGTTTTGGAGTGGCCTCGTCAAAGTCTGGATTTATATCAAACTGAGATGTTGAGGCGTGACCTTAAACAGGCCGTTCATGCTCGAAAACCCTCGAATGTTGCTGAATTAAAACAATTATGCAAACAAAATTAAAATTCCTCCACAGTGATTTGAAAGTCATTTCCAGTTATTATAAACACTTGTTTGCAATTCTTGCTGCCAAGCGTGGCGCAACCAGTTATTAAGTTTAGGGTGCAATCACGTTTTCACATAGGTTGGGATAGATTTTTCCCTTAGTAAGTGAAATCATGTTTTAAAAACAGCATTTTGTATTTCCTCGGGTTATCTTTGGCTAAAATGAACATGTGTTTGATGATCTGAAACATTGAAGTGTGACTAATATGAAAAAAAAATAAGAAATCTGGAAGTGGGCAGATACTTTCCCACGGCACTCTACAATGTCCAGTTCTTCATTAGTGTTATTTTCTAGTTTCTGCTGTACACTTCCCACCTTATAATACTTAACATGATTTATGTGGTATTATGTAAAGAAATATATGAATATACTGAAATCTCTGACACAGTGTAGTCTGGGTTTTTTTGTTGTTTAAACCAGATAAACTGGCTTTAAGCTTTGGCCAAAGAAAATGTCAAGTAAAATAACGTCTGACCTTTCTGTTAAAGAAGCAGCTTAAATGACTTTTGAGGACGTATCTTTGATATCTAACATCCAAAGTGAACATTTCTTTGAATATCTACAGCTCTGGAGTTTGGTCTCTTCAGTTCCTGAGCTTAACAAAATATTACCAGGAATTGCAACACTAATGGTTTGATTTCATTAGTGTTCTCTTGGCTTTCATCTGGCTTCCATGAAACCTCAATATCGCAGCTTGATGCATGAGGGTCAGATTAAGAAAAGGATATTTCAAAATAATAACTGGAACAGCTCTGACACAAACAGCTACCGCTAATTTAAGAGCTACTTTGATGTAACTGGTTGTATGTGAACTGATGTAACCCGCTCTCATATTGGAAGAATGTAACAGTAATGTGTCCGATGCATGTTTTAAATGTAACGCAATACGGGGAACGTTCATTCTTGCATTGTACTTGGCGGTGTGACAAAAAGGGGTTGGTGAGCTGAACAATGAAATTATGATAACTTGGCTTCTAAATAATCCTCCAGAGTCCAAGACGGCATTCGAATGCATTGTGTCCAGATCTCAGTTCTCAAACTGAAGGATGTACATGTTATTTTGCTATATCGAGAGCAAAACAAATCATTGCTTTTAACTGCAAAACTCGAGCACGAATTTCCTGGTAGACACCTCGGGAAGATGATTATTCGGGTTAAAGCCGCGGTAACCCCCAGAATCGGTGGGAGACGTGTTTAAAAGGTTGTTGTAATGGTGTGCTTTTCTTCTTAAAGGTGCCGCTGGCTTCTGAGGCTGAAATTGTCACATTGTTTATAATGATTTTGTAAGAGTAAGGGAGATGCTAAGAGAGAGCGCGAGAGAGAAAGAGGGGCTGTTGTTTTACTAAAGCTTGTTGTAAACTTGTAGTGTGTGTATATACTGCATAACAATGCAATAAAACACAAAAACGACAAAGCCGTAATAATGCAGTACATTGTCCAGCTCAGATATATTAGTTTCCCCTTTTTGCTTTTTAGCCCAGTTCATCATCTTCAGCTCTCTTGGGTGAGAATGCATTTAATTAACAAGCTTTAACTTTTCCATAAACTATAAACAGCGATCAGCCACCGCAAAGCCACGGGTCTAATAGTGTTGATTTCCGTACACTGTTGACGCAGCTGACCTGCTGGAGCTTGGACACGTCCTCTGTGGTCCTGAGCAGCGGGATGTGAGCAGTGGATCCTTTGGCTGCCGGGGCCTTCCTGGATCACATTTTTCCTGTTGCATTGTGTAGATGCTCACTTGCATTGGGATAATTGGGACGGGGATCATTATCGTCTCATGTGTGATTTGTAGTTCGTGGATATTTAAAAGTAGAATGGGAGGCATAGCCTTCAGCTGTCACCAGCTCACAGTTTGGACAGCCTCTCTACTACTAAGATCAGGCCTAAAACTTTCCTTTCTGAGAAAACGCATAGTTTTTATCACTCACCTTTTTCTCTGCACTCTGCATTTAACCATTAGTTATTATTCATTTCTGGCTCTCCATTGTCCCCCTCACCCCCAACCATTCGTGGCACATGGCCGCGCCTCCCTGCTCCTCGTCCTTCTTGTGGTTTCTTCCTGTTAAGAAAGAGTTTTTTCTCCCCACTGTCGCCATGTGCTTGCTCACGGGCTCATT